AAAAATATATTAAAGGTATCCACATAGACACAGAAGAAATAAAAATGTCTTTCTCCATAGACAATATGAGTATAATCCTATATATAGAAAACCTCAAAGATTAAGCTAAAAAATTGATGGAGCTAATTGAAAAAAATTGGCAGTTATCAGATCAACATACAGAATTAAGATCAACATACCGAAATCAGTTGCATTCTTATATATTAAAGATGATGATACCGAAAAAAGATATTAAAAGAATAATACAATTTATAATGACTACACGAAAGATAAAGTATTTAGAAATAAATCTTACCAGAGAAACAAGACTTATACAAGGAAAACTACAAAATGCTCTTACAAGAAAACAAAAGAAACACAAATGTAATAAGCTCCTGTGTTCCTAGGTGGGCAGATTAAACATTGTGAAAATGCCAAAATTACCAAAAATACTTGACAAATTCAACACAATTCCAATCCAAACCTCAATTCCTCAGAAAAATGGAAAAATGAAATCCAGGATAACTAAAACACTACTAAAAAATAGAAATAAAGTAAGAGGGCTTTCAGTCCCAGACATTAAAACCTGTTATATAGCCACAGTAATCAAAACAGCTTGGGAGTGGAGTGAGAAACACTGTTGTCTCCCTGGGTACTGCTGCAGTTCCTCTTGGTAACTAGCAGGTTGTATAAGGCCTGGCTAGAACTTACCCTGCTGGATCTCCAGAGGGAGAACCGGGCTGGGCCTGCTCCCATATGAGGTTACTGATTGGGCTATCACAAGTGTTTACCAGAGAACACTCAAGAAATCCAATCTGTGCTCACTTGAGTGAAAGTGAGGCTTTATTCATCAATTTTGCAAATGTAGGTGCCCAAGTCTCAGAAAAAGCATTACACTCCCAAGCTTACTCTGCAAGTTCCTCATTGACTGAGTACTATGGGGTGAACACTCTTTTTCTGATATTGCCTTCTTCCTTAACTTAAAGTTTTCACTTCTGGAAGATTCCCCCATCAAGCACTTCCTTAATTCATCTAGTTCACATAATACTATTCTATGGGTGTCTGGGTTCTAGTAATTAGCACATCAGTAATCATCTTTCCTCTGGCTACTTAGGAACTTCTTGGCCTTTGGTTCCTTTTATTGCTGATGATGACTGGTTTATTTCTGACACAGGAACAAAGATAGATACAGAGA